AGCAGCATGGTCTTCATTCAGCAAATGCCTACGGAGCTGCCACCGCGTGCCCGTGCCTGAGAAGTCCCCGTGGTGTGACCTCTGACACTGGACCTTGAGACCATAGTGTCTGTCATGTAAACACTTAATCTGTGAGCAGCCAGGGGCCGGGGACAATGCCTTCCTCTCCACCTACACATCTGGGCTCAGGCCCTCCCTGCAGCACGGAAGGCACATGGTCCTGGCACCCAGCCCACTGGCTTCTCTTTTCTTCCACCCAGCCTGGAACGCAAAGCCATGTCACCTCGTAGGTGGTCCCTTAGGCATGAATTTCTAAGTCCTTTGTCCATTTTTCCTGAAGTTTCCCGTTGCATTTCCCGTGTTCCTACTGGGAGAAGCAGCATCTGCTCCACCCACACTGTTGCGGCCCACACTGCCCTCCAGCCTCCTGTCTGTGGCTGGGCTCCAGCTGTCCTTCTTCAGGACCCATCTTCCCTGAGTGCCACAGACAGCCTGGGTGGCTTGGGCCTGTGGCTGCTTGGCCTGACACCATGACCTCGGGCTCCTGTGGGGCTCCCACTTCTCCCGTCTCACACCTGCCACCCCATCGAGCTGCACCTCCCTTCTGAGTCCTTGTGGGTGCCCTCTCCTTCCAGGCCCTCTCCACTGGGGACCGTTCTCGCCCCTGCTGGGGAAGGGCTGGGTGGGCTTTCTCCACCCGCCATCTTCTGGGCTATGGCTTCTTGTCACCAAGAACGAAATTCCTCCTTCGTTGCGGGTCCTCCTGTGGGTTCCACAGCCACGATTCAGCACCGGTGGCTCCTGAGAGGGTGCTCACGCCTGCAGCCAACTCCTCTAGAATTCTGTCCTCAGAAACTTCTGGTCCTACGTTTTTAAAGCAGTTCTCTCATAGAGCTGAAGCTGGACTGTTTCATTTTCCCCCTTAATGTTCAGAATTGATGTAGAACTGATTAATAAGCTTAATTTTGATTGTCCATATCCTAGAAAGCAGATAGGCTCATCTGGAAGACAGCAGAGCATCTCCAAGTGCCTGGTCACCCTCGCACAAGAACACAGCCATCACCTCAGGTGCCAATACCAACCTCACTCTCAGGTCCAGCCTGTCCAGAGCCACCCAGAGGACAGAACGGGCTGTGGACAAAGCTGTCCTGCTGTCACACGCCCCAGTCCAGCCTCCCCAGAGCCACCTGAAGGACAGAGTGGGCTTACAAACCTGTCCTTCCATCACATGCCCCAGGCCAAGTGTTCTACAAAGTCCCCCAAGAGGCAGTCAGAGGCCACTGAGGGGTGCCACGCCCAGCACTCACTGGGCAGAAGGTCCATTCATCACAGAAGCCAGTGATGTGGAGCCACCATTTTCAAAGATGCTGATGGTGGACACAGCACGGCCTTCCCAGCCGAGCCTGACACCTGTGCGGTGGTCTTTTGGTTGGAACGGTGGCTCAGCTCTCTTGCTCCAAGGAAAATGCCAAGAAGACCCCCCACATGGTTCACCAGACACATCCACGGGCAGTTTTATTGCTTGTTTCTTTCAAAACAAACTCCTTTCCAAACAAACACCTCTTCTCAAGGGACTGCTTATACACTGTCGCTGGGAATGCAAATTAGTTCAGCCACCTTGGAAAGCAGTTTAGAGATTCCTCAAAGAACTTTAAAAATGACCATTCGACCCAGCAATTCTACTACTGGGTATGTGCCCAAAGGAAAATAAATCTTTTGCCCAAAAAGACACCTGCACCTGTATGTTCATGGAAGCACTATTTCCAATTGCAAAGACGGGAAACCCACCTCAGTGCCCATCCACGGTGGACTGGATAAAGAAAACGTGGCACGTATACACCATGGAGTACTGCACAGCCATAAAAAAAGAATAAAAGCGTGTCCTTTGCAACTGGAGGCCACCATCCTAAGCAATTTAACTCAGGAACTGAAATCCAAATACCAGATGTTCTCATTTATAAGTAGGAGCTAAACACTGGGTACTCACGAACATAAAAAAGGGAACAGCAGACACTAGGGAATCCGAAAGGGGAGGGGAGGGCTGCAAAGCTGCCTGTTGGGTACTGTGCTCACTACCTGGGGGATAGGATCCCTTGTACCCCAAACCTCAGCATCACACAATATAGTAATGTAGCAAATCTGCACATGAACCCCCGGAATCTGAAATAGAAGTTGAAATTTAAAATAGATATATCTCTTTCCAGACAGGAACTACCTCTCTCCTACTTGGGCAGGATGCTCACCAGACACCACAGCTGGGGCTGCCAGACCGCTCCAGGGATCCTTCCCAGAGGGGCCTTTGTCAGAGTAGGGGGTTGGGAAGGTTCTGGGCTCCAATGTGAATGCATTTGCCTTAATCCAAAGAAAGCTGATGTGCTGCTTGTCCACAAACAGGTCACGTGTCCCGTGAGCCAAGTGTACAACCTGTTAGCAGCCCACCGTGAGTCATCCTGGGGCAAAAGCCTGTCCCCCGGTGGGCTCATCACAGCCCCTGGTTCCGAGGAAGCCCCTGGCTGGAGGCTGGTGCATTCCCCCGCCCTGATCCGTGCGCACCCTCTTCTCGCTCACCTCGAGCCCGGCCTGGCTTTCAGCAGCTGCCCTCTGTGGGAACCTCTTGTTATCAAGTGAGGAATAACCACACCAGTATCCAGTTACGGGTACCTCTCACAGAAATGCCCTCTCCTTCGATGGCCACAATAAATAATTCTGCTCTTACATAGAAAAATGAAGCATTCCAAGAATGAAAAACAAAATGTTTATTTGAGGGAGTGCATAGGATTCTGCTCTGACAGCAAACACGTTCGTCTGGATGGTGGCTCTAGTTTCCATAGAAAGAGCCCAGGCCATTGCTCTCCTGAGCTGCAGTGATCCTCCTGGGGGCCTCTCCTGAGCTCTCCTTGCTCCCATCCCACTGCCCTGGCCTCTTTCCCGCCTCCTTCTGCCACTGTCAGCATCCTCCAGCTCTCAGGCTGATTGACATCAGTGGAACAGCCTGCAATGGCCCCAGAGAGCTGCCCTGCCTGCTTCCTGGGCTGTCTGAATGCAGGCATGAGAGTGTCCAGAGAGGCCACTCTGTGGGGCAGGCCATGCCAGGTGCCTGGCCACCACCTTGTCTCCAGCCACAAGGTAAGTAGATGTACCTGCTATCCACAGACAATCCTACTGGCCCTGTGAAATAAACATCGTTTGCATTCTTGGGATGCATCGTTTTTCTATGTAAGAAAAAGCAAATAAAATATTTATCTTCATTCCCAGGTGTCTCCACAAGGTCTAATTTAATTGCCATTTAAATTGGAGAAAATGTTTTAAATAAATTTCCTTGTGATTTGGGGAGTGGCCGATTATATAAATGTGTTAGGGGAGTAAAGTAATGAATATGGAATTCAGACAAACCACACAGAGGGAAACTTAGCCTCTTAAGACGGGCTCATTATCCCAGAGGCAGAAAGACCACCAGATGTGGGGTCAGAGGTGGGCCTCCAGCCTGTGCTAATGGTGCAGTGACGGGGGTCCGGGTGGCCCCATCCTTGGTCTGGGTAGTGGCTGACGCTCTCTTCTGGGCCTGCCACAGGCTGGGGCGTCGCCTCCAGGTCTTCTGAGGGACCAGGGCAGTCATGACAGTCCCGGGATCACCTGGGAGCATGCAGAGGACTCGGCACTCACAGTCCCCTGCTGATTCCAAAGTGGCTTCCAGAGCGGGACCTGGGGCCTGGCCTTATATTTTTGTTTTGTGTTGAATTTCCCTGGTTGACTCTGAGGTCCAGCCAGCTTTAGAAAACTTGTTGTTTAAGGTTGGGGTTCCCAGATGCCTTTCTAAGAGCCAGAAACAACTGCACGTTTTGTGGGCCCCACAGCCTGAGTTGCAGGAGCTTGCCCACCACCGTAGCATGAAAGCCGGTGCAGGAAACACTGGGATGACGTGGCTGAATCCCAGGAAAACCTGATTGACAGAACCGCCAGGGTCTAGGTCAGGCCTGGGGCATTTGCCAACCGTGGCTTAAGGCCTGGGCCTTTGAAGGGCACCTTAAAATACAGGCAATAGAAGAACATGGAAACACAGCTTCTCACCGCCAGCACAGACTGAGAATTGTTTAGTTATAATCTTGTTTCAATATGTACAAACATTCAACTAGACATAAACTCCTCTTGCTTTTTGCTTTTATACGGCTTTAACAACAAAACACATTAATAAATTAAACACAAAACTATAACAGCAACAAAATTCAAATTAAAAATATAAATTCAATGTGGCAGATGATATGGTTTTGCTGACACCAAATCACCATTCCGGGACTCAGTCCCATCACTTCCCCCCTTGGCATCACTGCACCCTCCTCCTGGGAGCACCTTTGGCAGCGCGAGGCAGGGCCCTGCCTGGACGAGCAGCTGGACATGTCTGGTGTGTGCCATGTCGTGGGCAAAGGCTTACAGTCCTGAGAAGAGATCAAGCTCAGCAGGCATCAAGCTCGCCTGCAAGGCAGTTCCTATGTGCTGAGAGTGCGTGCACACGTATGTATGTGATGGGTACGTACACACATGTGTGGTGCATGTGTGCAAGTGTGCGCGTGTGTTTACATTTGCATCAGCATGAAAATGCAAAGGCTTTAACTTCCATAGAAAGCCACGCCCCCCACGCTGACTGCGCCCATGTGGCCCAGTTTCCGGAAGCCTGCAGAAATTCACTGGCTTGTTCCCGAGCCCTGGAGATCACTTTGACGTCATTGCCCTAAGATGTGGACAGTGAGATTGAGAGGAGGAGCTGGCAAGCTTGCAAGGAAGGGACCATCAGGAGGGACTGGGACAGGGTGGCTGAGGTCAGCAGGCACTGACAGGAAGGACCCAGGTAAAGCAGATCTCACAGTGGACCCCACGAGAAAACAAGGGCTGCTCCTCTGAGGGCCGTCCAGTACCTGAGCTCCCCGATCGGCAGCAGCACCAGTGTAGACAGCACATTCTACTCCCCAAAAATCTAAGCCATTGATCGATGACACGCAGGAGCATGATGGTAGCACACATTTATTTTGACCCTTTTTCCCACTCAGCACAATCAACGACTCTGGCTGGATGCTGCAAACCCCTTGGAAGCATCACCCATGTGGGGTTTCAGAGACACGGAGTTTGTGGAAATTGTGTTCGAACCTAACTTCTGAGGTCGGCGGCTGTTCCAGACATCGAGTTCTAATCCTAAATCTTGCAGCAGCTCTGTGTAACTTAGAGCAGACTCCCCAAACCCTCTGCTTTCTCCTCTGGAAAGTGGGACAATACCATCCACCAGGCCGGGCTGTTCCGCCAACAAGGACAGCAGGGTGCCTGGGAGCTCCTTAGGAGAACCGACATAGCCTGCTCCTTAGAGGGTTTGGGGCTTCCTAAGTGGAGTGGGTGGAAAGGGTCACATGACCCATGTGTGTGGCCCAGAAGGTCTGAAGTTTCTGAAGTCCCTTTTAAAACAGCAACTGAGTTTTCAGACTAGGCGGGCCCACTCGTATTCATCTTCAGCCTGGAAACTGGCACACATCAGACACCTGGGAAATCTGGGAATAAAAGATGAAAAGGATCATCCAAGGAGCAGGACTGCTCATTGATTTGCTTAGTAAACCAGGTGCCAAGCCCCAGAACTGGAGCAAAACTCATCCAGCCCACGTTTTCCCACTCCTGTGAGTGGGCCTGAGGTGCCGCCCATGCTGTCCTCAGAGAGAAGAGCCCCTCACCCAGGCCAAGACTCCAGCAGAGCCTGTCCTGGGGACATTTGGAGGGGGTCATGATGCTCATGCCAACCAGGACAGCATCCATGAGACCGGGGCTCTCCTGAAACTCTTTACAAACTAATTCCATGATTCTCCCCATGCCTGATGAGACAGATGCACAGGCACGTGTCCACATGCATGCACTCACACCCATGCATGCACATACATGCACACGTGCACTCACACCCAGGCACACACACACATACATGCACTCACACCCAGGCATACACATATGCACACATGGACTCACACCCATGCATGCACACATGCACACATGCACTTACACCCAGATGCAGACACACATGCACACATGCACACACATGCACTCACACCCATGAATGTACACATGCACTCACACCTAGGCACACATGCACACACATGCACTGACACCCAGGCATGCACACACATGCACTCACACCCATGCATACACACACATGCACACATGCACTTACACCCAGGTGCAAACACACATGCACACATGCACACACATGCACTCACACCCATGCATGCACACATGCACTCACACCCAGGCACACATGCACACACATGCACTGACACCCAGGCATACACACACACATGCATATTCACACACAACCACACACATGCACACATGCACTTGCACACACACCCACACACACATGCACACATGCACACACATGCATTCACACCCAGGCACAAACATGCATGCACATGCACACACACCCAGGCACACACACACATGAACATACATGCACTCACACCCAGGCAAATGCACACCTGCACACACATGCACTGACACTCAGGCATGCAGAAATGCACGCATGCACATACCAGCACCACAGACAGGTGCACACACATGAACATACACTCACACCCAGATACATACAAACATGCACATGCACACACATGCACTCACACCCAGGCACATGCACACATGCACATGTACACACATGCACTGACAGCCAGGCACACACACACCTGCACACACATGCACCCACACCCAGGCACATGCACACATTCACATGCACACACATGCACTCACACACAGGCATGCACACACAAGACAAGATCTCAAGAGTCTGAAAGATCCACTCTGCTTCCTGTGGACCACAGCTCCAGATGGAAGAGGCCACACAGCCCATGTCCGGCACCAACTGCCCATCAAGCTGCCAGATGAATGCAGTCAGAAAGTGACTTCAGATGAGACCAGCAGAAGAACCACCCAACTGAGCCCAGCCCAAACTGCAGACGACATAATTGTAAGAAAAAACCTGCCTGCTGCTTTACTTCAGTGTTAAACCTACATGTTGGAGTGATTGGTTACACACCATGAATGATGGGTACTGAGATGACCACTGCAGACAGGAATGCAGAGACGAACATACTCAGATACAGATACACACAGCTATTTGATCAGGAGTCTCAGGGCTGATTTGCTAAAAGAACTAACACATCTTTAGAAAATAGCTTGTTTCAGCTGGGCACAGTGGCTCACGCCTGTAATCCCAGCACTTTGGGAGGCTGAGGCTGGTGGATCACAAGGTCAGGAGACCGAGACCATCCTGGCTAACATGGTAAAACCCTGTCTCTACTAAAAATACAAAAAAAATTAGCCGGGAGTGGTGGCAGGTGCCTGTAGTCCCAGCTACTTGGGAGACTGAGGCAGGAGAATGGTGTGAACCTGGAAGGAAGAGCTTGCAGTGAGCCGAAATCGTGCCACTGCACTCCAGCCTGGGCGACAGAGTGAGACTCTGTCTGAAAAAAAAAAAAAAAAGAAAAAAGAAAATAGCTTGTTTCTGTTCCCAGTTTCTGAGGAAATTACAGGCATGTGGGGGGTTGGGACCACGCTGGAGGGAAAACAGGAGATGGTGAGAGGTTCATATGGGGTAGGGGCCAAATCCAAACATTCCCACTTATGGTTTTTCCCAAAGCACTGGTAGAAGAAGGGGCAGATGAGTGGTCAGCCAGATGCCCCGAGAAGGAGCCAGGAAGGGAGCCATGTGGGAGGAGAGAAATTGCCACTGACATTTTCTGCAAGTTGCTTTCTGTGGTGAGTCTGATGTGAAGTCTCCTTCCTCGAGAAGCTCCCCAGTAGGATTTGAGCTGCCCATGCATGCTTTCCCTGGCCCTGCAGCTGCCCATGCGTGCTTTCCCTGGCCCTGGCTCTCTAGGATAGAGGCAAAGAAGCACCAGCTCAGCCTCCCATCCACAGCAATGCCAGCAGAGGGCTCACAGTGAGGCAGGAAGAGCAGAAAAGGTGGCTGCGAGTGACCTCTGGAGGGGCCCACGCCAGGCTGTCAGTCCTGAGGGGCTGCCCACCCAGAGCGCTCGCCCCCGAACACCTGTCAGATGGCCTGGGCTGTCTACCCACAGCACGTCAAGGGTGACAGGGAGGAAGGCCGAGGACAGCTCCCTGCAAAGAGGCTGCAGAGGCGAGCCCCTGATCCCACACTGGTGCTCCCCAAAAGGAAGCCCTCATAAATAGAAGAGCTGGTGCGGTCTCCAGACTGTTTTCATTATTGGATTAATCTGTCTTCCCTGATATAGATATAAATATTTTATGTTCCATAGCCTGGAGACTCACTTATGACAATCACACTGCCTGGCTCTACTTTGAAGGAAATACCTCCGTGAAGGAAGACGGTGCCCCTCTGTCTTCCTGGACCACGGGCAGCCTCTGCCGGGCACAGGACGCAGGCCAAGGGACGGAGGGGTCCAGGGAGAAAAGTTCTGAGAACACGAGAGAGCAGGGTGCCTGCACCCCCACGACTCAGAGATGCCAGTCCCCCAACGAAGATGGAAACCAGGAGGGAGCTAGGGATTGTGGGAGCTCAGAGAAGTGGCTCAGACCCTCCCCGACCCCAGTCCTCAGAGAACTGCCACCTGCCACCTACCTCCACCCATTCAGGCACAATTCATATGGAAGAAACTCTTTAAAGGAAATTTTAAAGTGTAGCAATTAAAACCTGAAACAGAACCGCTCTTCCACCGTTGTGCATGGACTCTGTAGAACCTCTAGGAATGCAGAAAGCAGTCGAGATGCTGGACTCTAATTATGGCTCTAGATTAGAGGCTCTAGATTGTGGACTCTAATGGAGGCTTTAGATTGTGGACTCTAATGGAGGCTCTAGATTGTGGACTCTAATGGAGGCTCTAGATTGTGGACTGTAATTATGGCATGGAATCTCAAGACGCTGGACTCTAATTATGGCAGGGATGCTCTAGATGCTGGATTCTGATTATGGCAGGGAAGCTCTAGATATTGGGTGCTAATTATGGCAATGGAGGCTCTAGATTGTGGACTCTAATTATGGCATGGAGGCTCCAGATGCTGGACTCTAATTATGTCATGGAGGCTCTAGATTGTGGACTCTAATGGAGGCTCTAGATTGTGGACTGTAATTATGGCATGGAATCTCAAGATGCTGGACTCTAATTATGGCAGGGAGGCTCTAAATTGTGGACTCTAATTATGGCAGGGAGGCTCTAGATTGTGGACTCTAATTATGGCAGGGATGCTCTAGATGCTGGACTCTAATTATGGCATGGAGGCTCTAACTATCATGGTTTGTTGATGCAATTACTGAATACCAAGAAAATTCCAGAAAATAAGAGGAAAATCTACGAGAATTCATAAAAGACTTCTGTGTAAAGTTGTTGAAAACCTGATCATGTAAATAAATCAGTAGTTTTTCTATATGGTAGCAATAATCAGTAGAGGGAAAAAAATCCTAATACCTTTCATTGTAGAGGCAGAAAACCTACATGTTTGGCAGGATTGTTGCCATACAATGGAAAGAGTTACCTGCAGAAAATTACACGACTGTATGGGGACATAGAAAGAAAAATAATAGCAGGTGTGCCATGCGGAGTCAGCTGAATGACGTCAGCCCCGACTGTGTCTGCATCATCGCACTCAGGGTCCCTGTGCAGGCCGCCTGTCGTGGGAAAAGCGGCTCACAAGTGTGATGAGTGACAGGGATCTTGAGACTTAGCTGGTGGACTCAGTGTCATCACAAGGGGCCCTAGAAGAGGGAGGCCAGAGGGTCAGGGTCGGAACACAGCGACCGAGGCAAGATGAGAGAGATTCAAAGAGGCGGCACTGCTGGCTTTGAGGAGCCCGAGGACGCAGGCTGCCGAGAGGAGCTGGAAAGGCCGGAGGTGGATCTCCCCCAGAGCCTCGCGAGAAGCCAGCCCTGCCCCAACCTCCTCCCTCCTGAACGTCGAAATAATGTGGGCTATTTGTGGTAATTTGTTACAGCAACAACTGGAAAATTTTTTAAGGAAAAGAAAATCATAAAACTTAATTCCAAAATTACATCTAGGTTCACCCTATTTGAATAAAAATCCATGCAAGTCTTTGTCTGATAGGACAGCATGATTATCAAATAATATCGAATAACCAGGTAGAAAGCCAGGAAGCCTTTGAAAAAGTAAAAAAAAAATAAAGCAATCGCAGGAAGCAATGGCTGCCTTGGGGGCACGAGGCTCTGACCAGGAGGGAGGAAGAGGATGCAGCCCTCGGAGCTCGATCCTGTGGCTGCCCGGTGTAAAGCTCATCCGGTAATCATCGTTCCTAAAACAAAACGCCATTTTTCCTGCCAAATCAGTGAAAATGTGGAAGAGAAAAGGAAAAGTGCCTATTTGCTGCTTTGCAGACTTCCACAAGGACTGGCTGTCCGGCCTGCCTCGCCCTAAGGTGGGTGTTGGGCACAGGGAGGGGAGAGAGTGCGAGGACAAGGAGGTGCCACCCGTGGGGAGCAGCCCCCACCCCGAGCACCCAGAGAGCTGGACTTGAGCAGAAAATC